TTCCCTGCTCCATCACTTTTTCTTCCTCGAAATGATTTCCCCATTTCCATCTATTCCATTATGCACACAGATTATGCATCACAAGTACAACACACGTAAGTACGTAGATATGTACGTGGGCTGTGTGCATGTGTTGAGCCCAACCTGAGACACAAGCCAACACTTTGTCAATATTTTGACAAATTTCCCTCCCAACTTGCTTGTTCAACTTTAACGGTAAATACATATGCATCAAATGTGTGGACCACTTTCACATCAACCTGTTTCCCAGAGTGAGCACGACACATGTCTGCCCAAGAGGAACTTATTAGAACTTGATGCTTGTACAGATTTCCTGTTTTAATTGAATTTATTTGGTCGTTGGCAGCCCTGTGACGACCTTGCGAGCTACATGCACACCATTTTGAGTAGCGGATAGGAGGACGGGAGGAGGAAAGTATGGGTCCGTTGGGACCAAATGGAGATTTGAAGAGGACAGAATCCAAGAGTTCTTTGAAATTTTGAATTAATGAATTTCCTCGTCGTCTTATTTCCTCCGTGTAATTTCAGAATCAGACAAGTGAGACCGAGAGCAATTTTATGTTTTACCTCTTCCACCCTACACGGTGCGGCGACCCAGCAGAATTTTCGCAAAGTTAGCAGCAATCTCGACGAGCGGAGTCTTTCTACTTCCGAATGCTCCATATTTATGTGTTGGGAAATAGGAGGGTCTGGAGCTGTGTGGGAAGGGGAATTAGTGCGAAGGAGGAGGTAGGCCAGAGGATATGGAAGTGGGGCTCCAAAGGGAAATTAAATGATCATGATGACGACGACGGAGAGAGAACGAGTCATTTTTCTCTCTCCAGATATTATCACATCCTCTTCCGCGTATTAATGCTCTTCAGGAGACAGTCCCACTCATTTCCCCATCTCTTCATTAATCACGGGAACATGCAGATACATACATAATGCCAACCACACCAACCTTCCTCCTCCCACGGAAAAGGGCAATATTTTTCGGAACTCCTGCAAGAACTCTCTCCATATAACCCACTGTGGAACTGGCCGTTAATGGATTTCAGAATCTCGTCACATAGTCGCAAAGGTTTTAATCGGTTTACACCAACCTTACCTCATGCCGTCCTCGTCGTCGTCGCTCTCTCTTAGCGCTCCCCACTTTGAACTCGCCTCATTCATGAATTGTCCTCGATTCAGAACTTATAATTGGAATATGAACACGAAAAGAGGGAATTGTGTCGTGAGTTGGCTGAATGGAAATTAAATCCTTTTAACTGCTCCATTACATGGCTTCCACTCACTCCATTGTTTCCACTTGCCTCAATTTATGGCGGGCCAATAAAGAAACGGTTGAGGTTTATGGTATCACACAATTACGCTGAATTACTTAATTTCTCCATCAGTCATGATTCACTAGGCTTTGTTGCAACCCAACTCCAATTAGTGTATTGTCCGTAAAGGTTCTCATGCTGTGTCCCTGCTCCAGGCGAGCTAAATATGTACAACGGGAAGAAGGAAGTAATGCTGTTGACGTGTTGGCTGTTACGGACTTCTGGAGTCAAAAATATGTACCCACGTGCCGCGTTGCTTCTTGGAATTAAAAATGTCTCAAAAAATAATAAGATTGTCAACGTGTCCGAGAGTGCAATTTGAGTCGAAGAAAGTCTATGTCGCGTAGTCAGTTAGTCAAGAGACGTGAGTGAAGGCAAGCACTTTGGCATATACGTGTTTTTCTAGATAATTATCCGTCCCTGTTACTTGATACAAATTAGAGCGACATTGTAAATAACAGTTTGTAAATATATAATGAGTCTCATACGTGTGCATTTTAAAGCACGGCCGACGCTCTCATTTACCAAATTAGAAAATAGAAAACAAGAAATTTCCATTAAAATCCGACTGACTGCAGTAAATAGACACTCGTCTCGTGTGCTTGCAAAGTTAATTTGTCTGTAAAGTTTCGCAGCCAGGTTTAATTTTGGCACTTGATTAAATTACTTGTTGACTCTGGTGATGAACCAATTTTGCAATACTTATGCTGACACAGTTTTCACTCCTCTCTCTCGGATTTCGTGCAATATTTTTACCTTTCGATAATTTACATTAAGCCGAAAATGTCCCGAGGTTGTACTTTGTCCCAAATTTCGCAAGAATGCTCGAGTAGTGTTAGTTCGGCTGGGGAGCTACACACTTGAGCGAGCAGCAATGAAACAACACAACAACAAGCGAATTCTACGATTAATATTTAAACAGGATATTTGAACAAAGTAGTCAAACATTTCTTCCATCCTGCAAATTAAATTCAAATTTTAAGAGAAAATAAGCAACCCTTTCCTCCTCGGGCTCTGTAATTTATTTTTATAGGCGAGATTGAGACCGATGTGTTTGATGGGATGGATGAGGTCCATGGTGGGACAAGCAACATTGGATTTCCAAATTCCAATCGCATATTCATACATAATAGATTCAATGGTTATTGTTATTTTACAACCACCGCCGGCACCTCCTTTGCTCTCCATTTATGACAGCATTCCCATCCCCACGATTTCTGCAGAATTCGAAAAAGTATGCATCCACCCAAAATCCACTCCACACGACGACCACGACCAAAAAGGACAATAATATCGCGTGGGATTAACGATTGCACAACTAATAAAATTTTATCACTGATTTTGTTTACACAATTTTAATCAAATCTTGAAATCGCATTACACGGATGACAAGTCAACTTTCATTACCCGGATAAATTTATCTGTCAGTTTGACGATCGTACCTTCCCGAGTTTCTCCGCTGAAATAATAATACGGACGGAGATTACCTGAATGTTTTTAATTATGATTGTCAGACAGACATGTCAAATAGAGAGCCATCTATTTGACACAGAGGAAGAAAAGTTGAGATTTGTATTAAAGAAGGTTTATTTAACAAGGTGGTTCGGAACGTTGCACAATTTTGGGAACTGGCTTCCCATCCACTTTCACCCACTCGGTCTGATTTGTGTTCCTGCTTTGATGTTGGTTTCGTGAATGGGCTTTGAAATATCCCAAGTCTGGTTTGAAACTTAGTTTCGCCAAATTTGCAAAGTGGATCCGAGTGAAATCTGGACTCGGGCTAATTCATTGGATGGAGAGCGAGGAAGACACTAATACAAAAATATCGATGACATTCCGCAAAGAAGTCAATGGAACAGAGTCAATTTCTACCAAGCCCATTTGGAAAATCGTATCTGGTTATTTGCGACTTTGATGGCGTTGTGGCAGTGGCAGCCCCGCGTACATCCTTTCAGCCACCGCTTCTGACTGGAATAGTCCAACTAGGCCAGATTCTCTCTCTGGGTCCTGTCTTGTGTGTTTCGTCTTTCAGAGGAAAATGCAGAGTTGTTTGGCAGGCTGGAGGGGATGGCTGGCGGCGGTGATTCCATCCTCCCCTTTGATTTTGATAATGCAATGCAATGGGACACTTTTCTGATGTCCCGCTATTATTACAAAGTATGACGACTAGCATTCGTGTATGCAGTTGCCGGAAGGAAGGAAAGAGGCTGTTTCGCTTAAGGATGGCCATACCACGTCAATGGCTCGAAATGTCTATTTTCGTCAATTTAAATATACACATATTTACGTACACAACACCCCCAATTTGCTCCCAGGCTCGTTTGCTTATCTATGATTCCCGTGTCCTCTTCATTCATATTATGGCGTCACAATCGGTCGGAGTGAGCGTCACTGTGAAACCATAAAATATTGTGCTTTTCCACTTTCTCCTCTTTCAACCAACTCCGTGCGGTGCTGTTCCTTTTATTGTGTGCATTCGTATCCGCTCTTGTGAGTGGAGATGTATGCACAGAAAACAAAAACCGATGCAAATTTTGAATTCATATTTAACAACGTTTCCGCCGTCTCCTGCACATCCTCGAAGGAGCAATGTCTCTCCAGAGAAGGAATCAGGAAATGAGTGGAGCTCTGTCTAGCGAGAAATACGTATGTACGTAGCAGAAGAGGAGTGAGTGAATGAGTTCCTCTTCTTCTTCTTGGAAATGGACAATTCTGGAGGAGAGAATCTTGTGTTATGGCTTCATTAATTCAACCCTGACTTGTTCGTTCCTCAATTCCCACTTCCGCCTTCGCTCCTCTCCTTCGTCCTACAAACGAGTATCAATTATGAATGGCCAACACACTCAGGTCGCACTCCTCCTATGGTGAAGGAAGGAGCGGGTGCCATTCTCACCAATATTTGCATATGTACGTGTACCGTGCTGTGTAGTCACGAATTTCATCTAATTTGTGTGGATCCGCTATTTACTTGAAATGCCTACACAGCAAAACAAAACAAATGCTTGTGTAATCTTTGGCTGGCTCGTCTTTCTCCAGTTCCAACTCGATCGACCAGCCCTGCTCAACTTTCTCTTTGATTACGTTGCCATATGCTAGCTCCACTAATTCCATGTCTGCGAATTGGTCATTTTGAGTACCAATTGAGTTACTCGATTTAAGTCTCAATTCAAGCCAAATCATACTGGTTCAAGTCAAGGGCGTCTTTGGCAAAATATGACCCACAATGTTTTGTAGGTCATGTCATCCACACGCCGTAAGAGTTTTGACTTGACACTGAGAAAACACAGGTTTATACTTTCCCTTAAATGCATTTGGCAATAAGTTGTCCAAATTGACAAAACTCGTGAAGCATTCGGAAATAGTGGGTGAAGAATGACGTAGGATTGAGTTATGTGTGAGGAGCAGTACATGACATTAAATGTCATGGAGGAGTCATGTAGGAGGGACCCTTGTTGCTGCCGATATTGCTGTTATTGCCATTATTTGGTGACTTTTCCTGGCCGACGTGGTGGCTGTGGCTGGCAGTCAGTGAGTTTGTGGTTTATTGTGTTATTTTGTGTTGGCAGTGTTTGTGATGGTTTCCCAGAGTCGTCCGGATATTATACCCATGTCGCGTCCAGCTCGAGGTTGAGAGTAAAAAATCACTTCAATTTATATCTTGTGACATTTCAGATGGGTTGCGACCCCGGACTGACGATGACAAGGCACCTGAACAAGTTTTGTGGGAGTCACGGGAGACTTATTACCTCGTCTGGGATGTTAATGGAAGAACAACAGTCGTCATCGCAGGATGGGAAATTGATGAAGATGGTCAGGTCAGAGTCCTCCCTCTCCCTCCGCAGCCCAGAGTCTCGCACGGGCTCCTCCGTCAAAATCTCACAGTCTTCCGCCAACCCAAGACCTCCCAGAAAACGACGACTCCTCTGCGAAGGTGCTCTCACTTTTCATTCTCATCAGCACGATCTAGACTTATGTAGGTGTCCATGTGTTAAGCTATGCATCCAATGTACACATGGATACAGTGGCTTCCACTCAACTATATATGGTAGCTGTGCCTCGTAGTACTTATTGCTCTTCCCTCATGACATTCTTTGAGCCAAAAGCTACGTCCGCTTTATACGGAGTGTCGCATTTGAATTCGTAGCGCATGTAATTTTGAATATGATTTCATGGAGAGCAAGGAAACTTTCATTTGCATGGAAAATGGATAATGTCATTTTTTCGGGTCCTGTGCTGCAATTCAGAAATACATCAACTCCATCTCATCCTTGTTCCTCGTCGTCGTCGTCGTCGTCGCCGTGCTCATTGCTATTCTTGGCATGTTGCTTCACTCCTCTTTCGCAGATAGTTAACCAAATCTTTTGTTCTCTGCCACTCCGCCAGATTGTTTCAGATTATGGTCGTAATCGCTTGTAATCTTCAATCGTCCAGAATAACAATTATTAAAATGGCCCCGTGATGGAACGTATCACGAAAAGAATCTCGTCCTCCTCCTCCTCCATTTGTTGGGAGGAGGGCGATGTGCTGGAAATTGTGACAGGAGAACTGATTGTCCTCTGGCTGACTGGGAAAGTTCCTTCTGTTTCATCATCAAGTACAATATGACTACTTGACGTAAATTATTGGGAGACATGCAGAACAGGGACGACGGAGAAAGTAATCACTTCTGTCGAGCCACGGTGGTGGGATGCGGCGGGTTGTAGGAGCAGATGATGTACTCCCAGATTTGTCACTTCCCCTCTCCGTCCTGTCTCTTATCATCATCACATCGTATCACTGGTAATAATAAAAGACAAACTGACTGACAAAACACAAATGTACGAGAGATGTGAGTGAGATAGAAACAGACGCAAGACGGCAAATGCCAGGCTGCTGACTATGAATATTTTTAGTGGATCATATTCCCTCCACTCACGGACAGGGAACAAGGACAGTGAGTAGTCGTAGTAGGTGGACTCCTCTTGACGTGGGAAAACTGGAAATGATAATTTCCTCCACCGTTAAAATGAGCATTTGGTCCCCGTCTTCAACGTGCATGTATCCGACGGAGCCCTTCTAAACATTATATGGCGCATAAATTCGCAGGGAACGATATCTCAAAAACGGAAGCAGACATTGTTTAGAAAAATTATGCTTCCAGGTTAATAATACTGAATACTGAAATGGTGATTTAAGGTTGGACGGTGCCACTGTATTTCTGGGAATGTAAAAAAATACGAAATGATGGGAATTGGCGATGCGAGGCCGTTTGCACCGTTTAGATTTGCGACTACAAATGTCTGACTGCATGGGATTGCTGCACACATGGCGGTGAGGTTTTTGCCTTCTCTCTCGGCACAGGAACAGTAACAAGATGAAGGCTGATTAATAAATTATTTTTATGAGACTCACAACTGCAAACTATCGTTCTAATATTTTATTGGCTCTTTTTACCCTTTTTTTGGGGGGGGCCACCACCACCTTTGGAGAAATGTTCGTGGCTGGCAACAATGAGTCGTGTATAGTGGTCAGCATAACTTGTACTTTCGTGTATGTCTGTAGTTTAGTTGTTGGGAGCGTCCAGATATTACGTAAGCAAAATCTATCTTACGCGTTTTACATGAGTGTGAAGGGGTGAATAGGTGGCTGGTCTAAACAAATTGATAAGTAATATATGGACGTTCCCCTTGGGAAGTTGTCGTCTCTGTTGCACATTGGCTGCTTTCTTTTTTGACTGCCGAACTCTCATTATCGTTATAATTGGGAGGTATATGTATGCTTTATGGAAAAGTGAAATTTCTTGAAAAATATCGAAATTGAGCCACCAATTTTGCGGTATTTTGCTTGCCACGACTAACGAGTCAATTAGGAATTGCCTTGTGTACAGGGAGAAAAGCTTCTTTTTGTTGTGTGTAGAATGGAAAGCAAATTGTTAACAAATGGCGTACGCGACGGAAGCGAGATAATAAAGGGGCAAAACCCACACCATCAAGAATTCAGTCGCAGGATTGGAACAGCGAACCGTGAAATGTGTCAAAATTGTGTATTCTTTACGAGGAAATATTTCTTCTCTTGTGGTAACACGAGAAACCCATTTAAAATTTTGTAAATTTCTCCAACACGAAACCACTTTCTCTTTTATTAAAACGTGCAATTTAGTTGCGAATCACATCCCGTCCACTTTCTATGCAATTCCATCAAACAATTTACTTTGGACGACGAGGACCACCAGAAAGCTCTTCAGCCATACCTACATTCCCTCCACGGTTAGGATGAGGATGGCATCGTGGTGTGTGCGTGTGCATACAACGTTGCACGTGAGGCGTGGTGCGGCGGCCTGATCGACTATTTGCTAATTCACCAACTTCAACTTGTTAAAGCAAATTGTGAAATGGCAAGTTGTTGAAATGCATTTGTCCAAGTTGAGAATTGAAAGTGTTTCCCAACAATTTACTTTGTTCGCCTTCTTCCCTTGCTCTGTTGGAATGTTGATTTCTGATCAGTATGCCAAGTGCATAATCGTCCTTCTCCTTTTCAACCAGCACCACCAGCTACCCGGTCCACCAGCCGAGGCGTCGTACGGGTTCCATCCACGACCGGACGCGACATTTTCCAGCCAACATTCCTCCCTACTTCTCCTCAGATGGTTTACTTTCCTCCATTCGACATGCATCCCAATTCCAACAAAATTCCCCCCACACAAGTCGACCATCGCCTCACCACCACTGTCACGACTTACCAGCCAGTCAGCCAACAAACAAACATACCCATACGACCGGAAGAGTTAGTGAAAATTCCAATCGGATATTGAGCATACGTTGTTACAATGGTTGGCGTTTTGCTCCAACGCGTAGAGCCCCCTCTTTTTGAAATGCTATTTGTGCAAAACGGAATATTTTCCAAGTCAGTGTTCCTACAAGAAGGAAAGAAATGTAAAAATTAGACAGGATTCATGAGTCGTAGAAAACTCGAATTTCACGGTTGCATCATTTTCCAGAGAAAACTGTTCACTTGTCTTGCCTCGCATCCATCCGGCGGTGTCCAACTCTCCGACAAACCGACAATGGGATTATATGGTTACGAAATAAAATAAAACAATCCGCCACCGATTAACTGATGGAAAGACGTGAAGCTTTTCCCGTCGGCAGCCCACAATAAGCGAATGAGGATTATTGCGCTGTAAACGCCTCCTGTGCTCTGATATCCTCTGGACAAACTTCAACCAAGCAAAAGTTGATTCGAAAACTGTGGGCGAAAAATAAACTTTGTTTTGAATGGATTAAATTGTGACAAAAAACGTGCTTATTCCGTCCGGATAGAGGGATGAATAGCACTGAAAGGGAATCTTTGGGGAGAGAAATGAGCACAATGCGAGGTTGAGCAGCTTGTTAAAATATGTAGAAAGTAGGTTGCTTATTCCTTCGTAGTAGTACTCACAGTGGAAGTGAACACGCATTAATAAAAGAGATGACGATGATGGGAAGAGCGATTGTTCATCAGAGAATCCTCCCATTTGGTCCAGAGAGTCTTCAAAATTGAGTTATTTGACAAATAGCTAGTTTGTTAAGGGAACAATATCATCGCGAATGATAATTCTGGAGAGAAATACTTCATTTCCTTCTCGTCCACGTTGTACAAATGGGAATAATGATGTAATGGAAGAAAGTTGGTAACTTTATTTCATTCTTCTCGTGCTGGGTGGGAGACTCGTCCCCATTTCGGCACGTTTCCTACCTCCGCGTTATTAGCAAATCCATGTGACGCGCGAAATCTATTATGTCAGAAAGCAGAATGGTTTGCAAAATTGAGTTATAAGCAGATGCCATACATAATTGTGCATTGTGAGTGAGGAGGATCTGAGCCTTGACATTAAGAGAGCGTCAGGATGGGATGGTTATGTTCATATTGTCGCAAAAGTCAGGGTGGGCCGGATCATTAGAAAGTTGTAGGAGGAGAACTCGTGGAATTGGTAGTTCACCACTCGTCGGATGCCGAGTTTACTTTTTATTGTGTCCAGAAAGTCATTCCACTCCAGTCCAAATTGCTCATCCATCCGTCGCCCTTCTCGCCAACTTGTAAAAACTTTTCGACTTTTGAGCAATTTCCAGTGTACAAATGGCTTGGTCTTATTGCATAAGAGTTTACTTGAGCTCGTGGAAATCGCTTGGCACATTATTACGCTATATATATTTTTCGGCAGCACATGAACTGCCGGACCTCACCACAGCTGCTCCATATTTTCAAGTCGGTCCTTAAAAATGAATTGCTTCATGAGTGAAAGTACGCACATATATAGCCACGTACGTCTAAATGTATAGAAGTACATACGTACGTACGCGTAGTAGCTGGGAGTGGTCGTGGTGGCTGCGAAAGAGATAGATGCAACTGGGAAGAGAGGGGCATCTTCATACATCATGAATTCTTCTGCCAGAGTGATTTGGGACTTGGCCTTTGGCCTTCTGCCTGCTCCACGTCGTCCCTCCGCGTCCGCACAACTTTCCTCCATGAATTCCTGCCCAAACATTTTGTGGCCAAAAATAATATCATCCCATTGTTGATGGCATTTTTAAAATTCTGGCCAGATTTATTGCTTCACTCTCCCGACTCGTGTGGCTGAATGAATGTATGAAGGCTGTCGACTCAACTCATAACTGTGCACCAACAATTCGGGGCCCATTATAAGAAAAGTTTTATTTGTTGTTGTTGGGCAATCACGAAGTTGTTGGATCATGTCATCATCAAGCAGTCGGAGGTCAGATCAAAGGAAGCTCAAATGTGGCACTTTCTCCTCCTCGCAGTGGTGTCTCAGTATTCCATCACTTTCACTTGACCATCAAATGCTGACGGTGGACCTTTTATTTCGGCAACTCTCTTCATTCCACGATCCACAATCACGCCCTGTTCTAATCCGGATGATGAGCTGGTGGTCGGCATCGCTCCCCGTCCGTCTCTTCTCCTGCCCAGCCAACCATTCGTCCCAATCGTCCCATAAAAAGTTGGATGCAATAAATAAGTTTCGACGGCGAATGGACACGATCGAATTTTCTTATGAACTATAAACTCGAGCCCTTGTTCAGAAATCATTCACACGAAGACCCTGGTCTTCGTCACCGGTCAAAGTCTGCCAAGGAAATTGTGGGCTTTGTGCAGATGGCCACTTTCACTCATCTCTTCTTGTCCATCCGCCGCACTGCCCTTTCCTTTGTTGCTGCTCCTCCTGCTTCTTCGCTGATTTTTGATGCTAAATGTGGTGCAAAATTCAAAGGTGGTGGTAATCCTTATTAGGCTGTCAAACACGTATTGTTATCTATGATGGATGACATGACATGCAGGGCTGCTGCTGCGAGTGCCAAAAGATTAAATGCGGGTGGGAAGTTCGCATTCGTCCAAGTGGGGTCTGATCTTGGTTCGACGAACGGAATAACAATCCGTACCCTTCAGACCACACTTTTATTATGGTTTGATCCGCATAAATACAATTGACAAGAGAAAAATCAGCTTCTTTTTCCAGCTTGTTGATATTTTGCTCTGGGAGTGACGGGAGTAGCACGTCGTTCGTACGTACGAGCGTAGCAGTGGCTTAGCCGGATTTCATCTCAGTTTATCCAAGTCAGATTGTGGATTCTGGCTGACTCCTGAAATTTTTATTCGTCATATTTCCAAAGTTCAATCACGTCTCATCGTCTCGTTTGTGCCGTATTTTGCGTGTTTTGTATTTGAATCGGAACGTGCCATCTTACACAACAACAGCAGCGAACAAAAACATACACCGAGCACCAGAAGGACGGGTCTTCTGTAACGTTCTGATTTCATGTCAACTTAAAATTCAACATGTTCTCTCCAACTTGCTCAATACAACCGTATGAATTTTTACTACAAAAGACCCAAACAGTGTGGAACGACGGCAAAGCAAGATTTATGGGTGTCATTCGAACAACAGCAACTTATCCGCATTTCTTATTGAACTGGGTCCTGCTCTACTTTCTGGACAATAAAGTACTCGCGAACCAGTCGGTCTGTCTAATAACGGGACGAGTATTAATTACGAGGGGAGCTTAGAAAGAAAAGTGTCACTACAGTTGTTTTCTCTTCACCAACAACACATTTTTTGATTGGCCAAATTCAATCAGGAGGGGCAGAAGGAGATTCGTTCCAAACCGACACGTTCCTCCTGGATGAGTAAGCTCCTCACATACGGGCGGAGGACGAGAAGCCTCGAGATTTCCAGCTCGATAGGAGCTACGTGTTACTGCCTGGCCACGAGGAGAGTTTGACACATGTAGCCTGTCACTTTCTGCGGAGGATATTATTGCATTTGATCCGTAATCCTCAGACCAGCTTGAGACGAGTGAAAGTGGGAGAACAGGAATGAGCGAGGGAGATGGATCTGATCCGATAACACATTTTCGCACACTGGAAATACAATCGAGAGACCAAAGCCAACTGATCCATATCACTCACTGCTTTCTTTGACTCGATTGCAAATAGTGATTCAAAATCATATTAAGAACAAGTACTTAATATGATATTTTCCCTCTGAATCCGTGTTCAATATAAATTTCAGCGTTTCATATTTGCAACACCCGCTCTGGAGGGTACAGAAATGAATGCATTAATTCATCCTGGAACGCGATTGCTGTTCATGTGAGGTTGAGCTTAACAGAATTTTCTGTCAATCAGTTTAGTGTTCCTACTGTCTCGCAAACATTCCATTATTCCAAAGATGCTTCCTAACGCATCATCGATTTAAAACTTGCACCACTCGGAAACTTAACGAAGCATTCCACTTGCCAACTTTTTATTCAATGTCTTATTTAGAGCGGAACATTGGATTGGAAAAAGGTTTGGCAGCTAATGTACAATTCCGCCTCGTCGAAACTATTCACTCGATCATCATCCATGCCATAAGGCCGCCAATACAATGCACACGCCTTGATGAAGCTCATCCTTGAGAGAGAAAAGTGGCAACTAAGTTTTATGAGTGAAGTGAAATGAGATTTCTAGGAAAATTAATATCTTTTTAAAATGAAATCCAACGTGGCCCACTTATTTCTTTCCAATGCAACAGATAACAAGACTGGGTACACAAAAACTTTCACTTCTGAAATACATCTGTAGCCTAGTTTAATTAGGATTTTTCGGGGAAAAAAGGAGAGTTTGGCAAACGTCTGAGCAATATGTGTCTAATGTGTATCTGGAACAAACAAGAGTCCCCGTGCAGCAGCAGTTATCATCACAAAAGGTTCTTCAATGAGATTAGCTGCTTGCTTGATTTTTTGGCCTGTTTGCGTGTGTGTGTTTTTGTGATTGTGTTTCCTTCTTCTTCTTCTTCGACTCTCACTGGGTCGGAATCAATAATGGATACAGCCAGCCAGTCCCAAACTCTGTGGCGCATTCACTCGAGACGTAGTCATTTTGCTTGCTTTGTGCCCACATGGTGCTTCTGCCTGGGTCAAGGAGTTGGTCTGGAGTTTAATTAAGACCCGTTTTCAGCGTGGTGATGCGATGTGGATGCGCCCTTTGTCCGCTTTCTTGCCTCCGCAGACGAGAGTGTCACCATAACAAGAGCAATCTGTTGCCCAGCTAGAATTAGTTGTGTTCTGGTGTAGCCTATAAAAGTTCGCAGTGCTGATCGTGGGAATGGTTTTGTTGCAGGAGTTGAACTGGATATCCGCCAGCTCTGTCTCGTGTGGTAAGTCAAAGTCAACATTCCTCTTCCCCACTTTCCCCTCCTTTCTCCTCGGAATGCAACCCCACATCCTGCCACCACCACCACCGCATGCCCTTCTTCTTCCTCCTCTAATACCTTCGGCTCACACAGGCGGCTCGACTAACCCATTTAGTTGAGTCATATATCGTCTCATTAATACTTGGCTCGGACGAGAAGCCACCAACTTCTCGCTCCCCGCACTTTCTCCTCAAAAACAACGTGGCTGGAGCCCAGAGAGGAAATGTTTCCTGCAAATGTGTAGCAGCAACCTAGCTCCGTTTCCCCTATCGCTCACTTCCTCAGAGAAGTAAGTCTGAGGAGAATGCGATGCACTCCTATTCCCGACAAGAACGAGGAGCAGCAGGCCCTGTGTGTGTCAGACAGGCAGTCAGACCATGGCACGAATGTTGTTTTGTGTGACCATCTAAAATTCAGGAGAGGAAAGAAGGAGTGGATCTGTTCTGCGGCGTAAGTGGAGCACACGCATCCAACGCAGCACAAGACTTGTCGGAAGTGAAAGCAACGAAACCTGAAATCTGTCTTTTTGTGGCATGTTCTCCGATTCCTTTTATTTCTCTTCCACGCGGCCCTCCTCCTCCTCCTCGGGTCAGACTGATCAGATCCACACAAAGTGGCCTTCACTTATGTACTCGCCCATAGGAAGAGCAGATTTTTGGCAATTGGTTTCACCCAGCTCTGCATTCACCCGACACAGCCCAACCTAATTGAGCCGCCAACTTTCTCTTATTTCAATTACACAGCCCACCATTTCATGAAACCTTTCTGGTGGGACGACTAATTGATTTTGTACGAGCCGTGTTTTTGTCTGTGTGAGCGTGTGTGGTATTAAATGAGAAGCTGGATGGGTAAGTCTTGTGTTGGAAGGTGGAAGTGCTACACTTTTGACCATTTTCAGCGGAGTGGTGATCATCGGAGCCGCACTGTGTCTTGCCATCGGGGTCCCTATAGCCTTGGAGATGCGAAGTCAGCAGCCGGGCGGTTTCAGACACGACATTGTTCGCAAATTGCTCTCAGAAGTTCCACTCATCGACGGGTGAGTACAGAACTTTCACTTGGTTAGATTACATTCCCTGATTTCCGGTCCTCCTCCGGTTTCCATCAAGACCCGCGCGCAACGACACTGCCAGCTTGGCAGTAAGGACATCCGATCTCGTCCACAGACGTGAAGCACGTATGTATGCGGCCGTTGCTCCGGCTTCGCAAAAACCAGGCGAAAACCTTGACATAAAAAATAATACGTGTTTCCCACTTGTTCCATCTTTTACAAAAAAAGTCGAATATTATAATGTCACCCCACAAATAATTCGTCAACATTTTCACTGCAAATATTTTTAAAAATTGCAAGCTAACAAAAAAACGTATTCGTTTGAGAATTAATGGCGTCATGTCAGGACAAGATTGTGTTTGACTTGGCGATCATGGCTGTAAACTGGTACAATAAATGTTGTATCATGATTCCTCCTGATTGAGGATGCTTCCCGTTCGGCTGGAGAAGGCGAGAGGAGAAAGTGAGGCAATAAATGGGAGGGAAATAATATTAATGGGCAGCACTCTCTGATCCGTCGTCGAGCGAATTCCTTCATCCATCCCAACTCACGAAACCCATGCGGATCGTGTACATTTGGTCCTAAAATATTAGCTTTTGACTGGAAATGGAGTACTCTTGATTACACGGAGTGGATCTTATTTGCTGTCGAAGACCAGACTGAGTGGAGTGTACGATTTGACGATTTGGGAAAATACTCGAGAAATTTCATACGTGGAGAAAGTATGCTTCGCCCAAAGTGGCCATACGTTCGCCTCTCGCTCTCACTTTTCCGCAAGATTTGACACAGTTCGTCAGCCTGGGCTTGGCGTCTCTCGCGTTGACATTCAATTCCTGGTAAAAAAATTATCCTCCTCGAAATCCACCGCCGCCGCCCTGATTTTTATGGAGCGAATTGTCACAAAGTTTTCGACTTTGTTACCGGAGAGAGCGAAAAAGGATAAGGATTGGGTAAGGATCCGACCTAAAATGTATTACAAAGTGGAGATACACACAGTCGTCGTCCCATGAAAACAGGCCTGAAACAAGCAGTCAATCCCATCTCCATTACTTTGGGATGCAACAGCGGTATTTATTTGACTAATCAACTTTGCAATGTATTCCGTTTGTCTGTTGCGTGGATCCACCAAATTGAAAGTTGACTATTGTTGACTCAGCAGATTAGAACGTCGTCCCAATAAAAAATGGGAATGTTTGTCCATACAAATCAGAGTGAAAGCAGGGACGACGAGGACGCGGGTGGATGGGAAGTATTGCTTTTTGTTCCAGCTGAAATTTCCTCCTCCTGGCGAAGTCTTGTTTTATTATTATTATGATTATGCGGAGAAGGAGTGGGGCCCAGGGAGGGACGGGCGGCGGTTAGGCCGGCATCTGGAAACTGGGAGGAGAGGAAGAAAGTAATCTGGTGTTGATGTTGAGGAGCTGAAGGACGAAAATGTTCTCGGATCACTAAGCTCACCGTCCTTTTGAGCAGTGGAGCATTGAAACATTTGAGTCGACATTCGAGATTCGACATCGCCCATCGAAGAAGGAATAATCGATTCCATTCTCCATTATAATGGGAGAACAAACTACCGCCGCCATGGTCGTACCACGAGCTCCTGCTCCCACCCAACAACGCCGACTACAAGTGCCAGCCTTGGCCAACTCCGTGTTCCAAAACTTGTCAAGTTTAGTGATACTTTCGCTTTCTTTCGCGATCAAGTCCCGTCACAGACATTTTCGCAGGCTTGGGATCGACTTGGGCCATGGACGTGATCAAATTGGATAAAAGATCCACCCATTCTCATTTCAATCAGTGGGGATGAGCAGGAAATAAAGCTGCTGCGACTGTGGGAACATCATCATCATCATCATAATGCGCATAATATATCTCGGCCTCCCCTTCGTGAGCGTGGAGGTGGACCAGAAAGAAACTCGGTCTTCTGTCTCATTTTTTGCATTCCGTTTGTTTGATTTGACACTTTTGGTGGTGGTGGCGGCGGCGGCGGTGGGTGGGTTACCAGCAGAATTCCTTTGTAATCACGACTATGGACCAGCAGAGACGGATATAAATACGGGGGCACGGGAGGAGATCACAAATTTGTGGAGGCGGATTCCCAACTTTTCCTGTTCTTGCTTCCTCCTTGCGTGCCTGGTGGAACTTGACAATGTTGATCCAGATTTCTTCCACTTTGCAAAGTTAACCAACTTATCTCGTTGTAGAGTGAGTTGGATTTCTTCTTCTTGCAAAGCAAAAGTTGTGATCCGTGCAGCCAAGTAAGTGAGTATCCAAACGGGGAAAGTGTATGTACACCCAGTGTCTGCCTGTCGACTTGTTTGTTGTTTGCGTTGAATGGCAAATAAAGTATCGTGAAAGCGGCGGAGGGAACAATCTCTATTAAAAAGAACAAAGAAATGAATTCCATCCCTTCTCCTCCTCCTCCCTCCAAAGTTTTGAGCAGGTCCAGAGAATGATACTCCTTGGCCTTATTACTACGCGAGGACTTTTCCTCCGGACCACCGTATTATGCAGACCCACACCACTTCTTCTTCTTAGGAGGGAGCAGTAATGGGAGGTCTACACAAGGTGAGCAATCTGCAGGCGGCGTGGAGTGAAAGTCGAGAGAGAGGAAATACGATGAGATGTTGAAATTGGAGCTCTCCTTGGCAAAGTTGAGCAAGTTGGAAGAAATGCTCCTGGTCTCTGAGATCGGATTGGACCTTTGCTCCGAGGAAATAGGTTTTCTTCTCCTGCTCGTAATGTTGCCATAATTTCTTCTGAATCTACTCTTAACGGAGGTTAGTTGTTGGAATATTTAGCCCTTGGGTACTCTTTCGGGAAATGGGGCGAGCGAAAGGAGGTGGGAGGAGACATTCCACACCGACCAGGAGCTCCCATTCGTTGCGGAGGAGCTGATACTCTCCGGGCAGGCATCGAAATTGATGTTGTTTGTATCAGACATAAATCTACATTTTAACACGAATGCAAAATGAGGTGCCAGGATTCGAGGTGCAGCTTGATTAATGGGCAATAGTCGAACGACCCAATATTATGGACCAGTCAACTAACCACGAATATACTTACTGGGGACGAGGTGAAAGCATTTCTTCAACCTAATGACACCTGCAGTCTGGCTTGATCCATCTGCAAAGTGAACCAGCCGCCCACCCCTGGCTGGCTTATCAATATCAGAACATTAAACATCCAGCTCGATCCATTGTTGTCCGAGATGAGAACAATAAGTCGGATTTATTAACTTTCCCGAACAGAGAAATGCTTTCAGAATCACCGGCAAAGTGATTTAACTTTCTCCTCCAAACACACAGCGCCTGAGAATCCGAGAGCATCTTTGGTGATATATGACCAATAAGAGTAAAATCTATTATTACTCACTTACTCTGCTCCGTCCTGCAGGGGGCGATTGAAGGATAATGTACGAGCAGAAATCCATCCTCCTTTCAAAGCCGCTCGGACGAGGAGGAGACAAGTGAAGCGTTCATAATAAATACGAGTGCAGGCAGAGATCAGTTAAAAGATTGGCCTTTGTTTATTCTTGGTTCACGAAGGCCCAAAGCATATCAGCCAACCACCAGTTTCTACAAACACACTTGACTTGCATTCTCATCCCGCGGAGAGTCGGGTTGAAGAGTCAACAATCCAATTTTCCAGTTCCTCCTCCTCCTCTTCCTGGAAGCCACAGTGTCATCAGCATCGCCGTCACCTAAGAAAGAGACACACAATGCGAGCCATCCATCCATTCATGTTGGCGTGACGAGGGAATTCCCCACGACTTGGTTGTCGCCACTTTGCACTCCAGCCTCATGTTTCAGCGACCACCAGCATGAGAAGAAGAAGGAGAGGGATAGAATTCCACCCACCACGAGGAAGACCTGGCTGGATGCGGTGGTCGCACGCCCCAAGTTGGCTCTGGTCACGAGGGTGGTGGAGAGAACTGTAAATCAATTAAAAGGATTTCTGGCCTCGGCAACAGTCCTTTGTCAACCGGATTCCGGGAGTCATTGAGGCATTGAGACAACACTGATAAGACAACCACAACCAACAACCTCCCTGTAATCACATTAAACCACCAACTACCAACCACCACCACCACCACTCGCAAGGAAAACGCTCCTCTTGCAGAACTGTTGACGAAGCATCCATAAATCATGTCTTGCGGATTGCAAGATCCGATTCGGAGTTTAGGCAACTCTTCCTCTTCTCACAACCAAACTCCTCGGGACGTTGAGAAGAGAAAGGCATTCCTTGACGGCACCCACTCCAACACACGCAAATTAATAGTCTTAATGTGCGAAGGAAAGCTACACACGCATTTGTCACGCATTTCTCGTGCTGTTCCTTGCCCTGCATATTTGACAGCATAATAACCAAACGCGTGGAAAGTGGCGTAGTTGAGAATTAAGAATGTTTGTCAAAGAAATAACGGAGGGGAAATTCAGCTATGACAAGTTTCCTCTCTCTCTCACGTGTCTCGTTGAATTGCAACTTGTCCATTAACCCAGCGGTGCGTCCAAACTATTAATTTGCGACACTTGTGAAAGTCGCCATGCTCCACTTTCTCCGCCTTTCAGCTTCACCTTCACGTCCCCACTGGCCGTCAATACAAGGGGAGAACTCAGGAATGGGACTTATTTCCCTCATTTGCATTAAAAAGATGTACTTTCGCATCCAGAATTTTAATTATACACGTTTAAAAAGGGTGTCTCTCTCTTCATTAATTCTGCGGCGTGCTCGTCTCACTTCATTGCGCTCCTTCACCCGCCCCACACTCGGATTCTTGGCCGGGCGAGGAGAAAGTGGAGAAAGTGGAGGCACAAGATATGTGCTACATGCGTATATCCCCCTTGCAATTTATATAGTGGGACTGAGGAGGGGAGGTTGTGTCCTATCAACTCCCGGATCTCCATGCCCTTTGGATATGTTGTAGTGTCCCAGGAATGAGCAAGAACCCTGAAGTGGTTTAATGCCATGGCCACATTTGCGCCCGCCACACCCACTCAAAGGTGCCCTAAAATCGCTTTCACTCTAGCTTTCACCCGTTCAAAGCCACGCCAAAAATCCAATTTTACTCGGATTTTGAAATTTCTTTGACCATTATACTCCCAGATAGTTGTTCTCTTATATGCAACATCAAACTCAACTTTTTTGATAATTATTTGGCAGAAATAATTTGCTTTGTTGATTACTACAACAATGCTCATTCAGAATTTTAACAAAGCAAATTATTTCTGCCAAATAATTATCAAAAAAGTTGAGTTTGATATTGCATATAAGAGAACAACTATCTGGGAGTATAATGGTCAAAGAAATTTCAAAATCCGAGTAAAATTGGATTTTTGGCGTGGCTTTGAATGGGTGAAAGCTAGAGTGAAAGCGATTTTAGGGCACCTTTGAGTGGGTGTGGCGGGCGCAAATGTGGCCATGGCATTAAACCACTTCAGGGTTCTTGCTCATTCCTGGGACACTACAACATATCCAAAGGGCATCGAGATCCGGGAGTTGATAGGACACAACCTCCCCTCCTGAGACGGAGGAGGAAATGGTGGAAAGTGTTTCTGTCCCTTTGTCCTTGTCCTTATCTGGAGAGACTCACTCACATGACGACCACTTATTCTATGTCGCAGGCACAACGACTTAATGTGGAACCTCAGGATGTATCTTCGTAACCAGATAAGCGAACTTAGTTTTGACTCCGACCTAAGACTGGTGAGTTACTGGCAACTTTAATTGTTTTGATAACAACTTGACTCTGGCGGAGTAATTGTTTCCTTCTCCGCCGCTCTCTCCCTTTCCCTCCACTGACTCAAACTATTGTAATTCCTTGTTTTTGGCAGCACGAACCTTTCAAGGGGAGCCAATGGTCACACACGGTAAGCCTCCTCACACCCTTGCTACTCATAAATCCAGTTCATCCATTTCTCACTCGTACATGGCTGCTAAAATAATTTCCTGCGCTTGCACTAACTGCCGTGTATGAACTTTCTTTTGCAGGACCTCATCAGACTGAGAGAGGGAGGCGTCGGTGCTCAGGTACATACTTTCCCCTGCAGTTTGGTGAAGACTGCATAGCTGCAAATAAAAAAATGCCTACGAAAGGAAGCTCGTGACCAAAAAGGATCCAATTGTATCACTGATTGCATTTTGTCCCCATTACTTTTTAGCTGTGGTCCGTATATTCGCCTTGCCAGAGTCAGCACCTCGATGCAGTCCAAATCACGGTGGAGCAAATCGACGTGGTGAGACGACTCGTGGAAAAGTATCCGCTCTACCTCAGCCTCGTCGTTACATCGGAAGGTATGACCACGTCGCTTGCATTCCTTGAGCCCATGTTCCTTCTAATTAGTTTAATCCCTCGTATTCATTCGCACCCTGGCAGCCAAGTTGCTCGTCGATTTGTCAACGTGGTAAAAAAAACTTTGTGGTTTAAACTTGGCGGAGGTCACACGGGTGCTGATTGCGCTACAATGACCGAGTAAATAGATTTATTGAAGGCGAGACCCTTAAAAGTTGCGAACTTTCCGAGCAGTTTATGTTCATTTGGATGTTCACGGGACAAGAGAAGGCTTTCGGGTCTAAACTTTAAGCCGCACTTTGGCGGAGAGTACTTGCGTGCAGTGCAGCACATTATGTAAGTATTTATTAACCCAGATTTTGTGACGATGCAGAGACAGGGACGGATTTGTCAGGTTTTTACGGTGGTTGTGAGACAGTAGGAGTGCTTTCCCCGGTTTCTTCTTTTCCTCCTTGAAAATTCGGGCAGTTAGTCACCTCTTCTGAAGCCTGCTTTGCAACACGTTCCCGTCAAAAGGGCAGAAATCTGGGCTGAATTTGGTGAGGCTATGCAGTGTGTAGGTGAGGAGTGGGTCTGGTGGACAGACTCCCGTTCTGTAAACTTTACCCGGGTAGTCCACTCGAAGAATTTTAATGGGATTGAGCCCATACGGGAAATTCTGCAGCAGAATATTGGGATGGAGGGGAATCTGCATATTTAAACAAATATTATTGCATTAGGTCCCGAATTCTCTTATCTTAAGCTACGTCAGCTCCATATAATCTTTTACCTCCGTCTGACAGCCACTGCTTCGGGCGCAGACAATGCTGTTGAGCTGCTGGACCTTGGAAGTCGAGGTGGTTAAATCATGCATAAGCCCCGATTGTGAAAATGCTGAGAGAGGAGGACGCAGCAAAGGCCTCTCTCTCCTCCGCCCGACGTAATCGTGAGATGAAAGTGTCGACGAAAATCCGATTTGCAAGTCGAATTTGGTTTTGCCTAACTTGTTAGCAGAAATGTTATTCCACTGCTAAACTTGAGCCCAAATTTGCTTTATTTATGTGTGACTTTATGTGACATGCCACATTTTTGATGGGTTTTCACCCTTTATATTCAGAGCCATTACATACCCATAGAGCCGCACTGCATCAAACAATTGACGTTTGATTGAATGAATAATCATGTCAAATGCAGGAATATCAGAAAAGTGAGAGAGTGAATCCTGGCCTTGTGTTGGCAGCAAAAGTTTTTTCCTCCGTCCCATAAAGTCGTGGATCCCACCAGCGAGTTTATACCCCGACTCGTCAAGATTGAAGTCAAGTGGTGAAAGTTAGTGAAAATAAGTTGGTTAAGTTTAATGTAGATTGTGACAGTTGACATGAAAAATCTGGGAGATGAGCCACCCAAACTGTCGTCTCGCAGTGAGAAAGGGCTGCATGAAGAGAAGTCTCCACTCTGCTCAAACCTTATCTCGTTGCATTCATAAATGATGCCGTGCGATTTTCTTTTCAAGAAACGCATCACCCAAAATGTGATCCACGGTAGTAGTGGTGCACATGGGATGCGATTTGTCACTCACTCCCGCAACCAACGCCAGCAGGCAGGGCGAGATTAATAAGAATGTGGCCTTCCTCCATACACTGTGGGAACACGACGTTGCATAACAAAGAGAAGCCCACGACGCTTTCTCTGAATGCGACACACCAGACCATTTTGTCGTCGACACATCCTCTCCCTGGTCCCATCCCACATGCTTTCTTGGAGAGTGTGGAGTGCTCTTGGAGGCGGTGGTGGTGGTGTGGGCACTCTGGCATGTTCCCTTGGCTCAGTGAGTAAGCACAAAAGTTTTTTTGACTTTTTGACAGTGACGAGCCGCACTGAAGTATCATTTTTCTTTCTCCTCCGTCGACAGTGAGGCTGAAGCCACTGCCAACTCACTCTCTTCCTAACGAACCAACTAAGAATGAGAATGAACTGATAATTAATTCATCTTTGGCCTGTCGTTTCCTCCTCAGGAACAATGCACAAACTGCAGATTTGCGCGACACGTGCATCCCAACTGAAAATTCCCCCAACTTTCTCTTTCTTAAAAAAACTTTGCCGTGCTTTTCCTCGCTGTGGTGCGGACAAGTTGAAGACGAAGTAATCTGCTTTGTACCTCAATGGCTGCATTTTGGGGGAAACTTTAGTTCACTTCCGCTTGTTTATTATGCACGCGGGGACCTGATACCTGATACTTGGGGAAGAATACGATGGCCCTGTTGCAAAGTTGTCTATAAATACTAATAAAAACTTGATATAGCCCGACCAAGGCCTGTTAAGGCCTGTTTAAATTCTAAAGCCAGTATCATGGTGAAAACTTAATTAATTTTCATATATTCAGCTTGCTAAATAAATTGTAAGTTTTCCGAGTAAAACCTTAACTTACACCTGCAGCCTCATGCCAAATTCCTCATTTGTACTGCAAATTATAAAGCTTTGTCTCATTTCACTACCACTTTAGATGACCCCCACCGGTCAACCACTGCACCGATCATGCCCACCAAAAATCAAATCAGATACATCCTCATTTTAGAATCCGTCAGTTCAGTGATTGTTTGCAGATATGACGGTTCCATAAGTCGTGGCTGGAGCTAAAATCAGATAACTGTGTCAATACCTAGTTAGGCATTTATTTGGACTTGCATACGCGGAGAAGGGTGGGTCCTCGGAGGAGCCAGAGAGAAAAGAGTCAGCAGCAGTGTGCAAATACTGCATGTGTGGACTTTCTCTTAAAAAGCGATCCTTCTCGCATTTCCAAGCTGTTGTGTATTTTGTATTTGGCGAAATAAGCTAAACTACGGTTGATGTGAATGTGAGAAAGATCGAATGGATGTATTGAGACTTGAGAGAGAGAGGGCAAATAGAATCCCCTCTGGACCACTGCTCCCTCTCTACGGCCGGGACTCTGCACAGGCCGTGTCGCTCAAAAGAACGGCCAGGCCAAACCTGGTCATTTGGAAGCAATTTTATTCTCCGCCTGCTCAGCCGAACCTTATCCGTGGAGCGTGTACCTGTCTGAATTTCTGGTGGGAGAAGTGACACGCGGACGGTGAACAGTCCTTTCCTGTGATCCATACATTCATGAGCTCATTCTCTATTCTCTGTACAAATATAACAATCTATCAATGTTCGCAGTGAAAGTAAAGTGCGTCCGTTTCTCGATCCTCATCTGGATTTTAGATTCTGAACCCGAAATGTGAAATAAACTGAGCCCGTTGGGGCCACGAAGCAGACGAGTAGCACATACAACTGCATGAATAAATATAAACCAATCGCATCGAGGGTCACACTTTCCAAATTCTGCTCCAGGTCTTCCGAGATCAAATCCGAGCAAGCAAAACATTAGTTTCGCATTCAACCATGTTGATCTTTTTGCTGTGCATGCATCCAGCAACCTCTGGCCCGCAGTGGGCACGAATGCGAGGCACAAAATGCGTGGGCCAGGGTGAAAGTCAGATGTCTTCAACCGCTCTTGTCAATACTACGGGTACACCGGGGTATGCAGACCTAATCTCATAGAGGTTTTCGTCCCATTTGCCTTCATTGGTCGTTACCCCAACGTACTTAAGATCAGATCAGCACGGCTATTAATCCCTACACAGGAATTTCCGCATTATGTGTGGGTAACAATGGGGTATTGAGATTGCTCGCATTTTGAACAGAGGTCAAAGGTCGGTTGGTTGTCTTCTTCCTTGTTTGGTGCAAAAGGAGGGGACAAAAAGGTCTCTGGGGGTTTGAGAAGGGAGGGAAGAGATCACTCAGTCCGACCAGCTCCCTCGGGGAGTGAAACAGATAGAGAAATCGAGTGTCCACACCTCTCCAGCCGGGAGAAAGTCTCCTCTTTGGCTCCATTTTTTCCCACTTTTCCTTAAAGAGTGGATACACACACAACCGTTTGGATAGCATTTCCATATTTGTCTCAAGATTGGTGTGATGCTATCTGGACCTCGTAGTTTCCATTCGTTAGTAGACGAACAGCACAGCGACGGCTACAATTCCACCACTAAAATAATGAACTGAACCCAAACTCCCCTAAAATTGAGTGGAGCCATTTTTAAACTAATAATGTTTTGATTGTTGCAGAACTGGAGAAGGCCCACGCGGACAGGAAGATCGGGAGTCTGATTGGCGTGGAGGGTGGCCACGCCATTGGGAATAGTTTAGCAGTCCTCCGAATGCTCTACGCTCTCGGGTAAGTTTAGTCAATGGCCTGCAGCCTCGTGGGAATAAAATGTACAGTGTGCTTTACTTTTGTGTAGCGCGAGATACCTCACACTCACCCACAACTGCAACACCCCGTGGTACGTATCTGCCCGCTTAATTCTTTAATTAAGGGTTTACTTAGTTCTTTAATTCGGAGCAGCAGGAAAAGTTGAGGGCAAGTGGAACAAATTGAATTACAAGTTAAATTAGCTGACATTCTTACCTCCAAAATTGCTACGTTGCGAGCTTTAAACTTTCTCCTGCCCGTAATGAAACTTGCCTCAAGTGATTGTTGACTTGTTAACAAATCCGGGAGCGAGTTTTGTGTCTAATCAATGCGAAAAGTACTCTTCCAAAATTCATTTATTGGATTTCAGCCCGACTTTCTCTCCACATTATGCGCGTGAAAATAAGTTGCGTCCTACGTAAGCATCCACGTGAAGGACAGTAATTACAGGATTCCACCTCCTCCTTCCCCACTGCAGCAACTTTTATCCTCTCCACTCGTTCTGCATACTTTCTAAATACATCATTGCCCGAGGTGAAGTTAGTTTGCAATTTTCAAATAGTACGTGTCCTGGGACCTCCTCATTTTGCCTACTTTGCTCTCAGGCAGCAGTCTTATTGCCGTCATAATTGTAGTCTCGCAGAGTGAAAGCCATTCCGTTTGGCCTTATTTCGCGTGGGAAGGACTGCAACATGGAGATTGGATTTGTTTGTTGTGCAGTGGCATTTCGTCAAAATGGTCATTCTTACTCAGCGTACGGGATGAGAACACACACTGGAGACTCGAAAATGAACTACTGTCTGTAGTTGGCCGGTGGTGTTCCTCCTCATCGTTGCGCGTCCTATTAGCCGGCATCCATTTGGGTGAAAGTCTCGTCGAGTGTGCACCTAATACGAGGGGGAATGTGGCTCCGATACATGCATACGTGGAGTGGTATGAAGGTGGCCTCCTGGGAAATCAACGGGTCTACAACGAAGCACGTTGTTGGTGGAGCCATGGCCAGTGGAAGTGGGGAGCCCAATGGCCAACTTTCTCTTGGAGTTTTTCTTGCCTTCTCACTTGTGCTGTTTCTGCAGCTGGCCATTGTTGTGCGGAGATAATAAGGGGCAAGAGGACAAGAGGGCAGAATTCAATAGTCATAGAATAGCAATACAATGGCAGTAATGGAGAAAACTCGTCTTGTTCTTATTGGCCATGTAATTCTAATCTAGGCCACTTTCCCCAGTCTGGAAAAGAACAAGGAAAAGGAGGCGGAACGAGAGCTGGACATTTAGTCCAACTCCAAATCTCATTTTTCTTGGAGCCACAAATAAGTTGTGGTGAAATGGTGGTGGTGGCAGTTAATTTTCAACTTTGAAGACAAGAATGAGGAAAATACAGGTCCATAAAAAAGCCGATCTGTATCGGCACGACTATATTGTTGACTGGTTTGTGTGCCTTAGTCTAGCTGAGACAATGGCCTCTCTCGCATTGTATTCTGATCTCATTCTTCTTTTCAATCCCATTTCGTCTTCATGTGTGCGCCATGAATTGGCTGCTCTGGCGGCGTATCCCATTTCCGAAGAGAGGTCTGCCCGGTATGCAAGTGGACCTCGTGTATGCAGACTCAAGATGTTGTTGTTCCCTAACTTGACGGCTTTTCATCCCAGCAATTCGTGGGAGGAGTGGACTAATCTTGGCGGGGATTTCCCTGGCCATGTAATTCCTATAATTCTCCAGAGTCAGTTCAAGGAAATGCCTCCAGCCCCAAGACAGCAGTCCGCTAGCTCGCTCCTCAGTATTCATTCCGCCCTTCCATTGTGGACGAGAACGCGGATTATGTCATGTTATGCATGGCAATGTCCGCATCCCGACGCCAAATAGTACATACACCAAGCCTCCTACTTGTATCCACATACGTATGGCCACCAACACCAGGCGTGGATATACTGCGCCTCTGCTACAATATCTTGAGCAGTGGCCAAAAACCAACAAAACAGGCAAACAACCAGAGTTCCGCCAATGTATCCTGGCTGTTTCATGCAGCTTTGTCCTCAGCATTGAAACGGCAGAAATCAGAAATGTGATTAATGAGGAAAGAGGGCATAATACAATTCTCTGCCCATCCGACCCTCGCTCCACTAAGAAGCTCGATCCATTCCTATTCATATCCCAAATAGTCGTCCACAAAAGAAACGGCTTTCAAAATGATGCATGCTCTCCGTTCTTGTTTACAAGGCCTTGTTACAATTTTCTTGTACAAGTCGGAGGCCACAGTTTGGGCAGTATCGCGATCGTCATCGTGACGCACAATTATGCTAATTTGTAATTGTAAACTCGTCTGACCAGCAGCCATATACTTACTGGAGTGTATTTACGTCTGTGGTGGTGGTGGTGGGCATATAATGACCATTGTTCCGTCGAAACCCCAGCCTCCCTCATGTCCTTCAGTTAACGACCTCCGGGTACAAGAACAACTCTCAAGACTTGCATTGTTGCTTCGTGGGCTGTTATCTTTGCTCATTGTTTCCTAGTTATACGCATTGGCCTCTCAAATTTCCGCATGAGAGGAAGAGTTTCGAACTGCACAATGGCGTGTATTTGTATGTCCTACGCAATAACTATCAGGTTTCATAATTGAGAAGCACCCTTATTCAAAAATAAATCCGTGAAAATTCAAACTTTCACCCAGAAGACGCACATAGTTTTTGGATAGCAAATAGCAAACAAGAAAGAAAGTAGTCACTCAATTGGTCCTATTAGAATTCTAAACACGTAAGCTTGCAAAATTTTCAAACTTGCGTTCAGTCAGCTTTCACTTTATCAATATTAATTAACCAAATTTCCTTCCCAGTTCCATTCGTGGTCCAATTCCGATATTATGACTCTTGTTATTGCTCATTGACCCATGCGCGGACAGAAATAGAAACATCTAGAACAGTCTTAGTTTGTGCACATTGGATGATGTAGATTAGCAAAAAATCTTTCATCTCGTATGCATATAAAATAAAGTAAATAGATGGATTCGCAAACTTTTGGCAAGATCAACTCGTTTTATGATTCGAATGTTTTGGATGAATATTTGTGTTTAGGAATAAGCTTAAGGAAGGTATGAGTTTGAAGCATACATAGATATCGTATCGCATATCCTTTCATTTCCTGCGAAGATGGATGTTTTGAAATGTAATTAGCACGTTAAATCTGCATCCAATCTGCATCCGCATGTTGTACGGATGCAGATTAGTGTGGAGTTACTTATGTATTTTAAAATAAATTAATGCGACTGTGTCATCTCACGTGTGCACAGTTTTGCCTCCCAGAAGTTGGGATGAAACAGAACTGAAACCCTTGATTAAAATTATCCAGACGGCAGCAACCTTAGGCTGAGAGTTTGAAATACATGATGCATCTCGGCATGAGCTGAATGCATGGTGAACCCCACACCCACCACAACAAAACTAAATGCATACATACGTACTGCTCCTTGTTGGCTGATTCAGTGCAGGATGTGATGTGGTTTCACACTCATTAGCATTATGAGCATAACCATTAATTACTTTAGACAATCAAGGAGAATATGTGCATACATAGTCTGCTGCACTAACCACCGTGAGGGCAGATAGACAACAAATACGTTGTGTGGATGTATGTGGAGGCATGACCGGCATATGTCCAACTCATCGCCACGTATGTACGAGCGTGGGGAGGATGGCGTGAGGAGTGCTAAACTGGAAATGTGGAGTGCCGTGGACGGGAGTGAAAGCGGGTGAAAGTCGTTGTCGTAATTTCCAAGTGCCTCGTTACCAAATGGCCAAAGTCTCTCAGTGTTATTGAACCACCGGTGGAGAGAGTGGTGTTCATTAGCAGCTTGCACTGATTTTGACTCAATTAGCGACTCCCATTGTGCTGATGGTCGCAAATCAACACAACCTACACGGATTTTGTTGACGATAAATCTGAAGGACGGCTATGAGCTCCTCCGGATCTGTAACTTCATCTCCAACTCATTAGTTTTTAACGATGACGGATTATTATGATGATATCCTTGGCGAATGCTGGTTTGCACATCTGATCGCATATTTATTTACCCAGCACCAGCAACACACAACAACGTACGGGCAAGAAACCATATTGATTTTAGCCCCACTGAAAATATGACGCTGACAGTAATTGCTTTCACATAAACAACTCCTTGCTCCACGCCAGCCCTCAGCCTTCCCGTAATTGAGCCAAGTTAAAAAGATTATTGCTCCGATTACTCGATTCGTTTACCTGAATACACACGAACATGGAATCACTTGGTTCATTAACTTGACTCGCTAATTGATCTGAAAAGGAGAATATTTGTTTATGCATACGTTTTCTGACAGCATCCAAGAGTATAAAATTGTACAGGTCTGATATTTTCTGGCTGTCTTTGCAGGGCTGATGCGGCAGTGGAGGATCATTATTTTCCTGAACGTGGTGGCCTTACTGAATTTGGAAAGGTATGTTTCACAGCTCCACAGTTGACCCTTGAATGATTGGAGTAATGTACTCGTGGGGAGAAAGTTGTTGTCTGTATGTACGTACGTATATTTAATAAGGCTGACTCATGATCCTGGGAATGTGGAGCGAGCGAGCAGTGGTAATAACGTGACAATGAGTGATCTTTTCGCGAAAGATGAAAGATTCAGCCAACTCCACGTAATTATTGATGGATGAGCAAGTGATGAATGAATTTCCACCGCTTCTGGGAACTCGCATGGCTCGAATCATAGCAAGCAAACATGTTTTCTGCGTATCGAATGAGGGAGAAGAATTGAGCAATAAGCAATAACTGAGTCGGCAAGTTTGTCTTGTTGCTGATGCTGCCACCACCTCCCTGCTTTCACCAGCCGCCTTTTAATACATTAAATAAAAGGAGGAGACGACATTATAAGCACATTCTTCTCGGAAGAAAAGTTGATCAGTTTTAGTAAAGTTTACTAAACAGAAAAAAAAACTTATTCAACAACAAACAGTAAAAGTTAACGGTTTGAGTGAGCAGAAATCTTTTTCGGAGAATATGTATTTGTGCTTGGAGTTGTTCGCGTTGTCCTCTTGCTTTCCCTTTGTGACCGACGAGGGAGGTCTGAGAGCGGATGCTCGCAGATTTCGACCAAACCTGTGCAATCTAGTACAAATTTAAATAATACGAAATTTGCAAAAGGCACTATCTGGCCATGTTCAGATTTGGAAAAGACATTTGCGTCCGAAGAGAAGAAAACGCCCTCAAAAGTTGGCAAATTTTACACTTACGCCTCGTTTCTTCCTCTGCGGTGCCAATATCTTCGCCAAGCATGGCCATTGACAGATCGTGTGCTTTGGAAATGTCATATTAATTAAATTTGTGACCGATTGACACTGGATTGGTCAGAATCTGAGATCGTCCCCTGGTAGACCTCCCTTGTGAGGAACTGACTGGGCTGCTGGGGAAAGGCTGGTGGGTGGGAAGACGGATTTATGAGGAGAGAAGAGACCTCAGAATGGTCTCCCTTCTTATACACCGTTCTAGTAGACTAGTCGTCGTAGGAGACCCAGATACTGCTCCTGCTGCCACTCAAACGATATACTTGTTCTCCCCAATTGTCTTCCAGCCCGGCTCCCCCCATGTCCAACAACATAGCAAATTTATGCAGCCTCAACTTATGGTCTGTCACATAAGTTACAATCGAATCTTTTTCCCCGCATTCGCAATGATCAAAACGTTTCTCACTCGCCAGAAAATGGATGGATGGCACTTCATGGGTTTAAAATAGTAAAAAAACTTAACCGCGTGCTCCGTTTGATCAGCAATTTTCAAGTTTATTTAAAAGTGATCCCGTGTTTTTCCTCCTGTTTCACTTTCCTACCTCTGTAATTTTGAGAAGCAGGGAGAGAGTGGAGCATGTAGGTTGAGCCCCTTTCTTGCCTTCTTGACGTGGAGAAGGTAACGGTTGAGTAAACAGATTTTTTGTGGATTTATCAAAATCAGTAAAAGAAATCCAGCCCACAGGGCGACTACTTGAATGTGGAGAAAAATGTGAAAGCTCAAGATGAAAAGTTGGTTCTCTGTGGATTTTATTTCCCTGTCAAAAGATAGTCTGAATTTTTCCCATTTTTCGAAAATTGTGAAATGTACATGTATCCCGTAAAATCAATATTGTACGAATGTGCTACTCATACTCGTTAAATAGTCCGATAAATCATTCAAGCACATTTTTTCCTATTTTCATTCCTTCTAAATTCAATTTCTATCAGCACTACTGCATTTTGAGAACTCACTGTTTTCCTGGTAATGAATAAGTTACAGTCGTAATCGTACAAAGCCACGACTTTTTTCAGTGCGTGGTTGAATTAGCCAAAAAGCACAGCTCCACCACGATATCTTTTTTGTTTTTGGTATTTAAATAACAAATGAGTCGTTAAGCCGTCTTTGTGGAACGTTGCATCCTGTTGTCAGCTCTGTCGTGTGACCAAGAAGAAAGTGCCACCGTCTCCACAAAACTCATGCATAATTCCAAACTTTCTCCTCCTCTCGTCCTCCTTTCCGAAGGCCGAAGAAGGAGCAAGAGCATGAAAAATGAGTGTATTTAAATTTTTATGGGTAAACGGTACGTATTTATGATCTGCGAGGGTAGTTAATAATCAAACCGCGATGGTGGTGACTAAACTGCGGCAAGAAATACACTTGGACGAGGAATAAATAAGATAATGTCAAACACTTGCGGTGTTATTAGCAGCTCTCGTACGTCGCGTAATAATAGATGAGTTATTCCAAAAGCGGCAAATTAATTACAATGTGTCCCCTTGCATGGATAAGTCCGGAATTTATGGCGTGGCGAAAAACTGCTCATCCGTCTAATAAGATCCTCGACCACAATCTGCGGTTTTAGCAACAAACTAGAAAAGACAGAATAATATGTATGGGCGAGGGCTTATGAAACACGGGGAAAAATAGCTTCAATACATTTATCTTACTTATTTCTCATAATTTCCACTATAATTGGTCGAATGTCTAAGAAATGAGGAATTAAAAACGTTGCAGTTGGTGGTGCTAGAGATGAACCGATTGGGAATGATCGTTGATTTGTCTCACGTGAGTGTGGCGACGATGAAGGATGCCTTAAAGGTGACGCGTGGTAAGTGGCAGTCAAATCAACAGACTTGCAAATCGTGTGCCTCGTCTCAAGCAAGTTTCGTTATGTGACTTATTTCAGCTCCGGTGATATTCTCCCATTCTTCTGCCTACATGATCTGCAATCACTCCCGAAATGTGCCTGACGATGTGCTCCAACTCGTGGTGAGCTGTCTTTATTATTCCTTTTACTATTCGCCCTGTTGTTGCAAAGTTGCAGAGTCGGTTAGATTATGACAAATCTGAAAGTGGCCATAAATAATGGTGACAAAAGGAGTGATCAATGATTTGAGGATTCTCTCCGAGAGAGTAAAAGTAGAGCAGCAGATTGAGAATGTCTCCCTTTTTCTTGCTGTAATTTCAGGCTAAGAACGGAGGAGTGGTGATGGTCTCATTTTATAACGTGTTTCTTACTTGTAACGAGACAGCAAATATAAAAGATGTCATTGGTAAGCTCCTCATTTCATTATTTATCATCCTGTTTCCCGTCCTGAATAAAATATAGCGTCTGCTCCGCCAACCAACACTTGATCCACCCTGCACACTCTCACACCCAATTCTCACTACATGTCGTCGCACCCATGCCCTCCACTCCACGACGACTTTGACTCTTTGCCGTTAAATCGATTTGTTCTGGAAATTTGCACCATTTCAGCCAACACTTCCCTCATCCAGTCACACAGTTTGATTTATTCTCAAATTTCTCATCTCTGATTTGTTTTTGTTGTCACCTTTCTTCCCACTGCGGAAGACTTCCCGCTTTCTCCCTGCTTTCTCCCCGAGTGAGGAGACGGTTCAACTTGCTGGTTCCTACTCCCTTGCACAATAATAAAACTAATAATAATAATAATAATAAGGAGGCTTTCATCATGCCTTTTCTTTCATGTGTCTCGTATGCAGCTCATATCCAGCACATTCGGGACGTGGCGGGTGTGGACCACGTAGGAATAGGCAGCGGGTAAGCTTTACCTTTGAGATCACTTTCTAGGTTTACTACCCTCGAAATGCACACAGTGAGTACAGCCATGTACTTCTCAACGAGTGTGAAAGGTGCACTGTAACTGAACGAACGTATATTTCTGTATTTCAGCTTCGACGGAATTAACTTGTGAGTTTTGCTGACGTTTACATCTATCTTTCTCTCTTTGTGTCTGGATTAATTTTCTTCCCCTGTCGACTTACATCCACGCTCACTCCCACGATTACGTACATGCTTCTCGATCCCTCCTCACAAAGAAAACATCCACTTCGGAACCATGCATGCACACACGGTTACTAAATATTGCCAAGGGAAAGTATGTGGGTCGCTGGCTTTGCACTTTCACGTTGCAACATCTTTTCTGATAAATTTTGCATTGGCTGGAAAATTAGCCAGGGTTTCCCAGTCGTCGGGTTGAGCTAACAAATGTCTATTAAGATGCCGGCTTGGGCAGTGAAGTTTTTTCATTTGGGTCAAAAATGTAGATGCGTTTTTGTATTATTTTTGATTTGGTGAGGATGAAAATGGGAAGTTTTAAGATTTGTGCCCTTTACAGCGTTCCAACTGGGCTGGAAGATGTGTCGACATATCCAAATTTGCTCGAGGAGCTATTAAAAAACGGGACATGGACTGAGCAAGACTTGAAGAAGCTGATTGGGATCAATTTTTTACGAGTGTTTCGTCAAGCAGAATCGGTAAGTGGGTTTATTTTCTCCCATTTGGCACATTTATTTATTTCTTATATTTTTACATCAGTCGCAAAGCTGGCATATTTCGAATCTAATAATAAAGTACAAAAATCTCGAAAGAACGAAAAATGGCATTCTTCCTTATTTTCTCTGGATAAATGGATAGCTGTCAAAATTGGCAATATTTTGCACATGAGTACGTTCTTATTGTGAAAGAATTATTTGATCTCCATTTATTTATGTGATGCATTTATTGGTCCGTGTGCGGAGCCAGGGAGGAGATGGACGGAGACGGAGTGACGGATTTTATTTTGATGGGATTTAGTCGAATTCAATGGTTTCGGAATAATATGAGTGAATGGTCGGGAGGAATTTCTCTTCAAGTGCGGCCACGGTCTAATGGGCTCCTTCAATTGAAGCCTGCTTTCTCCCTCACTTTTGCTTACCACACACACAGCCTCCTCCAAGATGTTTGTACACATACGTATACTTAATAGGAAATACTCTAGGAGATACACAGGACGACCGATATACGTCTCTTCACATGGGAGGAAATCAGGGTCGGAAACGCTTCATGTGCTACATACACAGATAGTACTTACAGATATAGCCTCGTCATTCCTGTTTTCACGCCGTGCTCTCCTCAGTACACAAACTCATTAGATGTCAAAATGAGGAAATTGAATATTCCAAGGCCAAATTATTTGCGACACGCCTTCATTACGGACGAAATCTAATCGTTGAGCATAATCGTCTTGTGCTTATGCAATCTCCACCAGAAAGAAGTGCACACACTTTTCTCCAGTTATCCTGGACGACCTTCCACATACATATTTCGAGGGGTGGAATAGATGCGGGTGCCCACTGGGCGGATCACATCTCGTCAGAAATACGGAGTTCCATGTGTGACGGAGACCATATAATAATAACTGAAGATGTAGATGATGGGAACTTGGTGGTGTGAACTTTTGGGTAGTTCTGACTTGGCACACTTGACACCTTTCCCTCTCTTCCTCACCTTGCCTTCATCTCTCTGAAATCGGATTCTTCTCTCAGACCAAGAATTGCACCGATCTTATTACACGTGTCGGCATCTCCTCTGTCGATTCGTATCATTGAAGCAGCAGCGACGCATTCGTATGTTCGCAGCCAGGCTTCATCGCACCCATTCACTCTCGTCCTACGCTGACTTGTAATTTCCGCCCTCGGATTCTTTCCACTCGACATTTTTTATTACAAATTTTATGACAGCTGAAGCAAAAATATGTTCGTACTTATTGAACCACGAAATATGGGAGCGTAGTAATTATTGTGTTCCCTTCCGGAAGTAGTAAACTCAAAAGAAGAAATAAATATTGAATCTGCTCTCATTTTTTTGCGAGTCCGTGACTCCCTCTCCATTGTAAATCAGCTATTGTTGCATTGTTGAGAAATTTTCTTTGCGAGCCTGGTTCAAAATAAAATATGTAGACAACTTTTTGTACTGATTGCAGGTGCGGAATAGTTTTAAATCCGCTCCACCGATTGAGGAATGGATCCCAAAGTCAGATTTGCAAGGTATTCTTATTCCATTTAAATTTCCTCCACTTCGTTTCCCGATGGCATTTTCTAATTATTCTTTTTTTCTTTTTCCTACGATTTCCAGGTCACCACACCTCGTGCAATTATTATGGTGCGACTTAATATTCCGACCGAATTTGGAACGTTCAAAGCAGCGTGGCGCAATAATCATAATCATTCATGGAATCTAAATACGTGGTGCATGAACTCCATTTGAGAGAGAGAGTGAAATTCTGTGATGCATAAATCTACCCGGATTTTAAATCATCATGAAAACGTAACGTACCTCAACACATGAAACAAGAAATTAGTAGCTAAAAATACTGCGTTACATAACACAGCCTGGCTGTCGAGAAGTGTTTGGTTTTGTGGTTTGGATTGAATGAGTAGCGTTCCGTCTGCAACGTTTGAGGACAAGAGACGACGACGAGAGTGATCTTCTCGTCGTCACTGGGACTCGAGGCGAGAGAATAAGTGGCTGTTGAGATAACATCAAAGGATGGATGCAAACCCCAGTCGTGAGGTTGACATTCACAAGAAGGTAGGAGGAGAACGTTGCAAACCTGAAAATTCAAATCGCCCCATCAAGATAGTTCTCCACAATGGGATGGATATTTCCACTCAAAATGAGCATTGTGTTCTGCTCACAACCGTCCCCACCACAACCGAAGCACTTCTTTTACCTAACCCACCCACCAGTTAATCTACAATATGCGTCCTCCATCCGCTTTCTCCACATGACTCGACCTGCTGCAGTTTCTGGAGCAATAACCCTTCAACGCGATAAATACGAGGGGAGCAGAAGAAGCTGGACGGGATGAGAAAAAGATGTGTGTGTTTCTGTCACTCGGACTTTGGCTGAGACGGTGCGAGAGATGAGATCAGAAATCTGGAGGAATCTTCTCCTCCTGCATAAAAGGAGGGTGCATGGCAGGCAATACTTTCGCCAAGGCTCCGGACAGCCCAGCAGAGTCGTCGGGTAAGTAAATTCCTGGACGTACGAGAGGAGATTTGGAGTGAGTCCAGCCAGCCACGCATTGAGAGGCCCCCTTTTCTCACAAGTTATTACCGTCATAAGAATAATAAAGCTCTTCATTCCCAGCGACATCACATCATCGCCAAAGTCCAACCATCCCACCACACACGTCCTTTTTAAAGACAGCAAGATTGCAATCTCACCGTCACACAAGTTCTCCATCCTCACCAGAAATAAGCCATTCTCACCCAAAAACGGCCGACCCACCATTTCAATCAATGTTTTCTTGGATCTCAGGAATCAAGGGAGAAGTTTGTGTTTCTGATTTTCGAGAAAAATGGGGAAATCCATTATTCTTTGAAATGTTTGTGCAATGTCGTCGTCACCTTGCATCTGGCATTGTCTGCGAGGAATGTATTATTATTGAAAGAAGTGAAGGTTAAGGCTTCCCGCGGTGACAAAAACTGTTTCGAAACAGCGTATAGAATCTATGCGACGTAAAATGAGTTCACCTAAAGTAATAACTTTTACCGAAATGCTCAACTGCTCCGTAGATTAGGATAAATAGGATATTTTCCCTGCATCAGTTACACGATATCGTAAATCTCAAGCTAAAAACGTGTCGACGTTGGTTTAAAAAAATGAAATATTTATACTTTTGACTTTTGAAAAAAAAAAAATTTATAAATTCTGCACATTGCCGATCAGTATCAAAAGGGCAGAAAATAAAACATTATCACGACGAGATGAGTTTCAACTTATGTGTAACGCTCTTTATTCCTGCACAATATGCACATCGCTCAACCTGCTTTCTCACAAAGTCCCTCTAACTCATCCTAAGAGTAATCATGGTCATACATGTAAAAGCATGGTTAAACTGCTGGAATAACTGGGAGCACAACGTTCAGATCTGTCGTAGAGCTTGGCCATTGCAGACTTGCTTTCTTTCTGGAGCAGTCGTGAAGGGGAGAACTGGCTGTGCATCCCATTACCATTCTGACTGAGGAGCAGTTGCCATAATTGTCTCCGTAAGTAGCTCTATTATCCCACTGCCTGGGTCAATTCCCTCTTGGCCAACTTTGCATACATGAGATGATGGGAGATGGAGATGGGCCATGCATTGTTCAACCATGTTCCCCACCAACTTGATTCTCAACCAAGTCTCGTGCATTCTCCAGTAAAAGACTCCTCACTCACCCCACGAACACTTGCATATCGCTAGAATGACAATAACGTGTCCCATTCTTCAAAATGAAACTGGTTTCCGTCCTCATCAAATGACAAAAAGTGGATAACAATGCGCCAACCATGTACTTGCTGAATATCTCCCGTCTCAAAATCATTAGCGTTTTTCTTTCTAGATATTGCGAGTACAGACACGCGTTGCCCAACAAATAAGTCGGACCCCAGAAGAAGAAGAAGATATAAGCAACACTTTTCCACACTTTCTTTTCTGTCGTTTCCAGCAGCAAAGCGTTGGAGATAGTCCAATCAGAAAATGGTGGCGACGGCCGGCTCATTTTTGTCGATACTGCATGTGTCAAGATGATTAATTTGTTTGTCCAATGATTTACTTTGTCCGTCACCCAGCTCACTCCTTGCCAACTTCATTATCGTTTTTGGAGGATGTTGCAGATATGTGGAGCCGCGGAATGTCGTATGATTTATTACCCTCCAATTTAATTCAATCAATTTCAACTACATCATTAAATACGTCGGCCCAATTAAAACCTCACCACCAACCAACCAAGCAGCCTTCCTTGTAGCACCATTAGTCGCCTGTGAAGATGTTCATGCCTTATTCACTCCCGTGCAAACAGTATCGAGCGAAGCTGTCTCTCATGTGCTGGCCTGCTTTTCTAGCGATAAGTAAAGTGATTATTTGGCGATAAAAGGAAAAATAATGAGAGCAAACTCCTCTCCTCACTTGGCTCAATGAGGGTTTGGTAATGGAGGCTCTAATAAATCTTGCTCCACATTCATTTTACACTACCACCCGACAAACACAATGAGAGCAACATATGGCTCTCGTGTGTTGATATAAAAGCGGATTTGCTTTTTATTTGTGCTCCCACTAATTGCACAACCAACCAACCAACCAACCAACCAACCAACCAACCACGAGGAGAACCAAGCACGGGAGAAAGTTGTGTGGCGACATGACAGGAAAGGAGCAGCACAGCGGAGAAGGAGGTGCACATCGTTTGCTTGCTTATTATATTATTATGGATCCGTGTAAACTTTGCCCATCATGTCAACCGTTTCACTCACTATTAATAAATAAATATGAATAAACTGTGCGGTTGTGGGGTGAAAGAAATGATTTTCACTCGCTAATGAGCTCAAGTCATGCGAGGGGACCGTTCCAAAGTGCATGAGCATGCTTTTCACCATGGTCCGTATTTAGCAGGAGGAGCATCAGCGTGTTTATTGGTGCCACGAGTTTATATAGTGGTCCCTCATTCAACATAATTTTTAATCCCACTTTATTTATCACCACGAGAGTGGAAACTCGTTTCGCTGATAAGGATGAAATGACGAAACTACAACAAAAAACGGGGGACACAGCCTTATTTCCTAAAGGATATGGAAACTCGGATCCCGGAATGCGGGCAATTAGTCGAGTCGACAAATCTGTTTTAGTGACTCTTTGTTCTCGTCCAAGTGCCAAAAGCCTCGCGATGCACTCTGCCAATTGCTCCAACTTTCACCACCACCACCACCACACCAGAAATCCTACAACTTCTCCTTCCGCATCCCCCCATTCATCCTCGTATTCATGTAAACACGCGTAAAAATAGGCAAAAAACAAGCAAGAAAAGTGCTCGTTCCAGAGCAATTGTGCATAATTGGGCCAACATTTGGAGAGGAACGAGTCCACCATTCCGCTGGCTACTTACTCCTCACTCATGTGGACCACATATTTATTCGCTTAAGCAGAGGACCCAAACAGCCTTGTGTAGCACATTCAAGGGACATTTGCATTACATAATTATTCCATTCATCATTCGGATGAAGATGGGCCGACCAAGGAGTGCGGGTGGTTGGTGGGCTGAGGGTGATGCGTCCTAAAAGATTCATGCTGGGGAGAAATGCAAATCTTCTTGTTCGCCTCAGACTCAAACGACTCGAAAGCCAAACTTTTCCACTTTTTATTGCCATTTCCGTAAACCTAATGCTCTCTTCCACACCATGAGTACATCCGAAGGACACGCGTTGTCACACTACACGATGGGTGCAAGTTTCCAACTCGCCCCTGTTTGTCGCCCTGTTTTGGAGAAAAGTACATGCGGATAAAAAAAAGTTGGTTGGTTGGTTGCTGCTGGTGGAGCAGTGACACGAAATAAATTAAATGAGGAGGTTGTTGTGTCGCCTTCCAGTGTATATTCCTCCGTCTGCTACATATTTACAATTTGCATGCGTGTGTGTCTTCCTGGAAAAGTTTTACTTCACTTTTCTCCACTTTTCATAGATAATGCATGGCCACCGGTGCAGTAAACCCATTCTGCTCGGGGAAATGGAAAAGCAGTCGGATTCTAAATAATAGTTTAATGCTCTTTATCAGCACGTTGTATTCACGGAGATGACCCCAGTTTTCATTAGCCGCCTTGAAGGAATACATAATATACGAGACACACATGCATGAACTCCACTCTGTCCTGTGAATCCTCAACACCGCGAGTTACATAATCACGTAGTCACCTAATTGCAAATGTGACCAAAATTGGCTACCTTTTACATGCGTGTACGTGCGGCGCTTGGGGACTCGAGTTCACTAATATCCTTTGACTTGAGGAAAAGTTGTTGTCTCTCTCGCTCTCATTTTCTTATTACACAACAAGATAGCGACTCTATCTGGACATGTCTGTATGCCCAGAGAGAGAGAGAGATGGGAGCCAGCGGTACAGAAAAATTGGGGAAAACATTCATGAAATAAAATATTTATATGTAAAAAACGTTCATAAATCTGTCCCTTGGAAGGAAGCAGCAGGGCTGTTGCCTGGAGAAAGTAGTCGTCGTGAGAGAGGCAGCCAATTCCTATACAAAGTTTGGTGGTGGTGGTGGTTGGGGGACGAGGAGGAAGGTTGGCCCACAGCTACCCGACGACCCTCGGCCATTAATATGAGATAATACCATCCTTGACAATAACTCGAGTCGGCCTCTTCTTTCATCATCAAACAAAGCACAAATCTAATGGCCACTTATTGCTCCTTTTGTTTCACTCCTTCTTCCTCAGGGTCGCGAGATGAACCACATTTTACTTCCCCTGTATAAATCTACTTCCGTCTGCTCCACACGTCCCCCACATTTCTCTTGCTGCCACCATTACCAGGCGCTCACAATTAGTGGCTCCCTGCTCTCCAAAAGGAGAGATGCAGATTTGGGTGAGATATGGCCAATGATTTAGAATGATAAGTGCACCGATAACGTTGCGACTGTTGGAGCGAGTAGGCTCTGCAATATGCCCAGTAGCGTCTACTCGTATTTACATGATCAATTTTAGAGGAGGACGCGAGTTGGTACATCCATTGGAGTCGGATTAACACATCCCATGCCCAAAGTAGCCATGTGTGCTCTATGTGTGCGTAGGTACGTCCGTACGTGGCACATGCATGGAAGCGTGTAGTCTGGTCAAAATGATGAATGCGACTCTCCATCCTGTGAATGTGCAAATAATGGTTCACAAATGGTTTCGAGAGTGTGTATCGGATTGCCAGGATGAGGAATTTAGGAGCAAGCAGGGTCAAGTGAACATGGGTTCGGACCGAATTAGGGTGAAAGTGTGAAAGTGGACGCCGAGTTTCATCTGTGCCCATAAATTAGCGCCTTCTTGCACCACGTTTCACTGGTGCAGGAATGTGCAAATGTGGCGACGAACACAGATGAGCACCACTACTTACAACTCCTTCCTACTCCCACCACCAGTGGTTGCCTCCTCTGGGGACCTGGAGCACAAACACGTTTTTTTAAATGGCCGAAAATTGTGCATCCTCCCTCGCAAATCCTGAACGCAGTGGGTCCGAACGATCCTTGTGAGAGAGCCAGAACCAGCCAGCAGAAGCTCTGCTAAGCTATGAAACAGTTTCGGATGGCCGATTTGCTTTTTGGGGTCAGCGATGGTACGACCTCTCCTCCAGCCCGTGGTGGCCATGCTCTAATATCCAAGATAGATAAGCAGCCTATGTTCCCACAAACATTTTTGAATTTTAAATGTCCTCATTTTCCTCTAAGGGAGAGACCTCCTTAATTTGATCTTCTGAGAGAAATGAGACATGACAAGTGTTATGCGTACATATTTAACTGGCTGGGAGCGAGGATTGACCAAGACAGAGATAGAACTAAACACATCTCTCTCTTTCCCCAGTCAGTTGGCCTATCTTTTTGGAGGAGAAGGAGAAAGGAGAGGACCAGGAAAGGCATAAATCAAGGCAGGAATATTTCAGCAACCTTTCCTCCAAAAAGTATGTGTTCATCCTTCCCCACAAAAGCTGGGCGGCGCACATAGCGTGATCTCCTTGGAACTAAGGGGGTGACGTAATCTCTCCAGTTATCAGTACTCCAGATGTAGTTTAGCCGCCAATGTTGCACAGTTTGCACGTTAGCATTTACAATTTGTGACTCGTACCAAGGTTTCTCGTCGTTTAGCATGCAAAACGCAAAGTTTTCTCCGTAATGCAGGCTGACAGGGCATGAAGCAGGGGTCGTGGAGGGGAGCAAGTCTATTGGAATATAGCAGGTAGAACGTAGTAATGGACC